GGCTCAATAACGAATAATTCCTTTAAAAATGATTTTTTATATTTAATTTTATATATAATTTTATATGTCAGTTTATATACAATTATATGTATTTTATATATAATTATTAAAACCCTCTGTTCTAAAATATTTATTACCGGCTCAATAACGAATAATTCCTTTAAAAATGATTTTTTATATTTAATTTTATATATAATTTCAAAATAAATTACATATAATTTTATATGATTTTTTATATATATAGTTTTATATGTCAGTTTATATACAATTATATGTATTTTATATATAATTGTTAAAACCCTCTGTTCTAAAATATTTATTATCTAGAGCAGCTCAATAACGAATAATTTCTTTAATCGTTTTTTTCTTTTTAAATACTTTAATTAAATTTATCAAAATAATATACTATTAATAAAAAATTTAACAAAATTGATTCTAATTAAAATGAAAATCTCGTACGCTTCACTTGGTATATTTTTAATAAATAAAATCCCGACATATATTTCTATATTAATTATATATCGTTCTTCTCCTCGGACCAGGCTTTAAGTTAATCATCGCGACCTACTTTCCGGGACTTTCACGTTCGTTAAAAAAAATCAGGTCGCCTCGACGGGGAAACTGTCGGAGATCAAGCAGGACAAAAGCTGGAAGTTGAAAACTGGAAAAGGGAAGGATGACGCGCATCTCTGATAACGCACTTCCCACTTGACAAGTCACATTGTGAACTCGGTTCATTCTCGAAACCGGATGTGTCCGTGATCTCATATCCAGATATCCGCTCTGCCTATCCTTCCTCCTCAAAATTTCTGCGGTATGTTCTAACACGTGCAATCTGCTCCCCTGACGATATTTCGTTCTCCTTTTTTTCTTTCTCGTTTTTTTTTTTTTTTTTTTTTTTCGTACACATCCAGTTTTATCTCATCTGTGCTCAGCAGCTTTAGATTCCGAAATAATTAAAATAATTTCTGTGGTAATTTAATTATTCTGTTTTGACGTTTCACAAAATCAAGATCTCTTCTTCAATAATAATTTTCCTAAATTTTTATTGCGCCCATGGAGAAAAATATAAATTTTAATTATTGAAGATAAGAAATTCTCGTTACTAGGGTCACAAATTCATGCGTCAATGAACTTTATATATTTTTTCGAAACAAGCAAATTTTGCAATACTAAGAATCAGATAAAATCACTTATTTTTGCGAAACATTAATAAAAAGAGATCGAATATCTATAATATATATACAGGGGGTTATTTTTATTTTAATCCGTATAGACAAACATTTGAGAAACTCTTTTCGAAAAAAATAATCAGACAGTGAAGTATATAACATCGTGATCTAAAATTGCTCTTGGATGACATTTCTCATTTTAAAGGTCCTCGTTTTTTTAAATATCATTTCCTAATTTTTAATAATTAATTCTTCGCAATATTTCAATATTTGGTATGAAAAGTCATGAGAGGATACAAAAAGGTGAATAGTTTCGGAGATGTTTTATAATTTGACAATTTTATATAAATGATATATTACGTAAAATATCTCGTAAAATACTCATTTCTCGATGATCTTATTTCAATACTTTTACGCGAGGAATTAATTGAGACAAGAAAACATAGTTGTTTTTCAAGGAAAAATATTACATATATACTTAAATAAAAGTTAGAAAAATATTTGTTATACCCTGCGTTACTGGAATTTCGAATTATTACGTTTACGTATAAGTGTCAATTTCACGAAAGTATACCGCAATGATGGCTTCTCTTCCAAGAAGAGAAGACGTCAGCATCTCGCACATCTGTTGCATCTCATTTACAAATATATAATATTCGATTTGACCAGATCATAGCGGAGTCTTTCGTTCACACACCATATACATTAAATGCGTACACACACAACTATCCAATCAGTGCCGGGCCTTTAAAAGGCATCTCGAGTCAATTTTGTATCGAGCATATCGTGTCCATAAATGGTAAGCAACAGCATCTCTCGTCCATCGTAAAAATGCTTGTTTCTCAAACTCCGTTGTATTTTGACTTATAAATATATGGAAAAAAATTTTATATATATTTTATGAAATTTTGATGAGACACGAGATTTTGTTTACACATCCAATTAGTTTTATCCTTATTAAACGTTACATATCATTTTCTTTTTTCATCTATTTTTTTTATATTGCATATTATATTTTTTGATGATGCACAACACAAAATATCGCTTTTATATGACTTTTGACACCGCAAAAAGAAACTGTACGAGCGTAATTGCTATAATCCCCATTCTCGACTGCTATAGCGTTTATGATCAGACACGTTTCTTACATCTTACGCAAGAGGTTAACCGATAATAACTCGTTTTGAACGCAAGTTACACGCGTGTACATTACGCATTTATGCGTAGACATATGCGTGATCAGCATTGATGTCTGGTCGGGCTGAAAAATTTCGTACTGCGTTCTAACATAATATTATATCTCGCTATATTTCAGTTCGAAACTACTGTATTAGATTTAATGATATAATGAATCTTGAGTTTTTCGATCAAATTCGGAGAGAGAGAAAAGTATCTTATAAAAATTATTTATTACTTTTTTAATTATTATAATAGTATTTTATTAATTTAACATGTGTATTGATATTTTTGAAATCTTGAGTTTTTCGATCACAAATTCGGAGAGAGAGAAAAGTATCTTATAAAAATTATTTATTACCTTTTTAATTATTATAATAGTATTTTATTAATTTAACATGTACATTGATATTTTTGAAATTTAAAGTTAAAATCCCTAATTAAATTCCATTGTTCAATGATTTTATAATTAAATTGTACCTGAATATTTGCTTAAAAAATCAATCGGAGATAACCGATATATATATATGTATATATATATATATTTATTTATGATTAAAAATTACTATATATGTTATTACAAATGTAATAGAAATTTATACTCTTCATGTATATTATGATTATAATTTTTAGTTTACTCGTAATCATTTTAATGAAACATAACAATATTATCTAATTATAATGAACATCTTATTTTGTTGGTGCTTGGATAACTTATACGAAGATGTACGTTTAATAGCGATAAGCAATGTTGTCCAGCGATAAGCTTCTAAAGAGCAAAAATAGAAAAAAAATTGACGACGAATGCAAAGCTTGAAGAAATATCAAGAAAATTGTATCATTAAAATGTAACGCAAAATATTACAACGCATGATTACATTTTTCTAAACGTGCAAATAATATTTATAAACTATCGTACTTATAAGTTATCACACACACGTTATATAATAATCGAAAATAATATGTTTATCGCTTTCTACAAATTGACTTATCAATAACCATTTTTGCACTGCCTTTTACATAATTAAAAACAATGACTTCCTTTAGAAAAAAAATGTAGTTTTTTTAATATATATTTTTTTATAACTAAATGAAGATAAAAAAATTTTTAATTTTACTTTATGATAAAATAATTAAACGCGAAACTGGCAAATGTCGAAATTTAATTAGAATTATAATTATATAAAATTATATATAATTGTATCACAATTTTTATTAAATTTAATTTTGTTTTGTAAACTTTTCTTGTCTTATTAAAAATATTGAATATTTGCAATGAAATCTTTGAGATCTTTGTCGAGGGATTCGGGTAAACTCACTCTCGACGACTGTTAAAACTCAAAGAGTAATGTAAGCAGATAAAACAAGCAGATAACGAGTGCAAATACATCTATGAAATAGCAGTGTGAAGAAAATCAGTGAGAAGATGTAAAATCTGTTAGCTGTCCAGTACAAACGTATTTTTCACGAAAATTAACATAAATGTAGTAAGTTTTTTTTTATAGATATAAATTTCGCTTTCCCAGTCGAGACTTTTTCACTTTCCAGAATATGCACAAATTTGAATACATTTATTTTACTTATCTTTTTTACATATGCATTATATACATATTTCTCTCTTTTCTCTGTTGAGTGTTTTTACAAATAATTTACATTTTTCAATATCTTATAAATATTGTATATATTAAATTATTGTAATTAATATTACAGTATAATATTTATATAATACATTATAAATCAATATAATATAAATATATGAATAATTAATTTATAATAATAATATATAATACATGAATGAATTTTTTATAATAATTAATATATAATCATACTTAATACGATTTAGATTCAATTGATTTGATTTATGTGGCGAAGTGCTGATATAAATTTTCGTCAAATGTCAAAACTTTACAAGCATTTCTGCGTTGAAAACATAGTTTTACATTTAGTTTCCGCTACGTTACGAGACGTTGAGAGATGTATCCTGAGATATGCATGCAACAAAAGGAGAAAACGCCTTGACGCATCATTAATTAGGCGAGAACGTGTCGATGTAATTGCGTCGCCGTCCTTTAATCAGCGTGAATTGAGCGTGATGAATGAACGCGTTGCGCTTATATACGTTTTATACGCGTGCTTTTCTACACGTGCATTCACATATACATACATCTCGTAATTTTATGATCTCGATTCTCCTTGAATAATTGCGACAGCGATGTCACGGCGACAATCTTCTTTAAAATCAAGGATACACAATGCAATTGCAACAGCGTATATTCGTCAAGAGATGTACTTAAGAACAGTTTTAATTATATTTTATTTATATTCTTTACATTTTTCCTAATGGAACATAAACAATATATGTATAGAGATACATATAAATATTCGCGATATCTTAAAATAAATTAAAGCAAATTGTATTATGTAAAATAAAATAAATTAATTTCTTGATTGTTCTGCTAAAATTTTATTAGATTTTCTGCATCATATATTTAAATTAATATAATAAACTAATAAATTAAAATAGTAAACAAAGATACAATGAATTGCATTATTTGTAACAGTTGTTCACAATATCTAATTAATAATATATTAGAATCTTGTTGGAAACTTCATAAAAATTGAATGCATCTAATTTTTATTTCTTCTGTTTAGGGTGACGAGGGTATACGAGGATTTGTGGGAGCTCCCGGACTTTCCGTACGTATATAAAAATTGTTTTATTATTTTTCAAAACTAAAGACCACCATTTAAAATAGAAAAAGAGAATTATTCTAATAATTGAAAATACTGTGCAATTTCACAGTTTCATTTTATTTTACGTATACATATATTGTTACATATATTAATACATTTTAGGTAGCATAAAGCACAAAAGCTCCAATCATGTTTTCAAAAATAATTATAATAAATTCATAAAAATTATAATAATTTTATTATTTTTCAAAAGTAAAGGCCACTATTTAAAATAGAAAAAGAGAATTATTTTAATAATTGAAAATACTGTGCAATTTCACAGTTTCATTTTATTTTACGTATACATATATTAATGCATTTTAGGCAGCATAAAGCACAAAAGCTCCAATCATGTTTTCAAAAATAATTATAATAAATTCATAAAAATTATAATAATTTTATTATTTTTCAAAAGTAAAGGCCACTATTTAAAATAGAAAAAGAGAATTATTTTAATAATTGAAAATACTGTGCAATTTCACAGTTTCATTTTATTTTACGTATACATATATTAATGCATTTTAGGCAGCATAAAGCACAAAAGCTCCAATCATGTTTTTAAAAATAATTATAATAAGTTCATAAAAATTATAATAAGTAATTTTATTATTTTTCAAAAGTAAAGGCCACTATTTAAAATAGAAAAAGAGAATTATTCTTTTAATAATTGAAAATACTGTGCAATTTCACAGTTTCCTTTTATTTTATGTATACATATATTGTTACATATATCAATGCATTTTAGGCAGCATAAAGCACAAAAGCTCCAATCATGTTTTCAAAACTAATAATAAATTCATAAAAATTTTAATAAGTAATTTTATTATTTTTCAAAAGTAAAGGCCACTATTTAAAATAGAAAAAGAGAATTATTTTAATAATTGAAAATACTGTGCAATTTCACAGTTTCATTTTATTTTACGTATACATATATTAATGCATTTTAGGCAGCATAAAGCACAAAAGCTCCAATCATGTTTTCAAAAATAATGATAATAAATTCATAAAAATTATAATAAATAATTATTCATAAAAAACATAAGACCAATTTTCTTACACAATTTAATAATTGGATTGATATTTACAGTTTTCAAATATAACAATTCTGGCTATTTTTTATTTCTTTCTGCAGCAAAAAAATTAAAAAAATAAATAAATAAAATCGTGCAACCTCTCTCTCTCTCTCTCTTCTATTCCCAAATCCAAATTTAACGAAGCTCCAATATTTATTGTTTGCTTTCACGACGCGACGCACAGTCGGGTCTCCAAACGCGAAAGAATCTTTCAGCGGGATTATATTAAACGTTCTTCAGGGGAATCCTGGAGTACCTGGTGTAGTGGGTCCGGATGGACTGGACGGATGCAACGGCACGGATGGCGGTGCAGGTGCACCAGGTAGACCGGGAGTTTTCGGGCCGCGCGGAACGACAGGACCCCTGGGAGATTATGGTCCCCCAGGAGAACCTGGTGATGGAGGCATCAACTCGGTCGGCGCCAAGGGCATTCGCGGGAATCCCGGTATCAACGGACTGGAAGTGAGAGCATTTCCCGTTTAATGGAATATGATTAATAATCGATCGATCAAATTGTACAGTGCTTTGACAGTATATTGCGTACTAAAAAAAAAAAATATCAAATTCGGTAGTAATTATTTTCATCGTGTGTGACATGAATTTATCGAGTTTTGTGAGCGCATGCGCTATTAAAGTAAAATAAATTAAATTGAAGTATCGATTTAATTATATTGCTACACGCATACGTAATTGCGCAATTATGCAATGTGTATAATTGATGCAATTATTTTTGGCTACTGTTGTAATCGTCATTAAACTTTGATTTATAATAGTAAGGCGCGACAAATCGAAATAAAATTCACGAGAGAGTTTCTTTATATATATCATTCGCGATTAAAGATTGTATTATTAAATTATTTCAAAAACGTTTGTAACAAATGACATTTTCTCGCAACTTCAGAAGTAACATGTACAGAGAATAGAATCATCCCTGATATAAATCCGCTCGATCCAACTATATAACTAATAGTCACATGTGATCACGTTTCCAGGGTTATCGAGGATCCCAGGGTTTCACTGGTGAAGTTGGTTATCCAGGAGAGACGGGCGACTTCGTAAGTAATAACAGGATCGCACTATACAAGGTGTCCGGTAACTAACGGACCAACGATTACAAATGGATTCTTTGGTCAATTTGGGAACGATTTTTCCTCAGCGAAAATGTCGAAAAAGGTCATCATTTTTTATTATGTATCTTTATAACTAAGCCTCGAATTAAAATTTTATTATAATAAACTCTACCTGAAATTAACTGAAGAATGTAATTATGTTAGACTTTTAACTCCAAAACGTTTAGTTTTCAAAAAACCCATTTTTTTTCAATCGCTTATAACTCGAAAATTATTGACTTCTCAACATTTTTGCTAAGGAAAAATCGTCTCCAAATTGGTCAGAGAATCCGCCCTTAATCATTGGTTCGTTAGTTACCGGACACCCTGTATATCCCGGTTGCTTAAAGGTACCGTAATACCCTGGTCGATCGGTGTCGACTCGAGGGAGATCGGCGAACTTTGCGTTTAGATAGAGGTCCTCGAAGGTGCGCGAAGGAGAACAACCCGCTCGGGACGTTTCTCTTTCTCTCTCTTTTTTTTTTGTGCGAAATGCCACCTGCTCGCGTGAAATATCGTTCGGCGGCCAAAGTATTCCTGCCGGCAATATTTAACTGGTATAAGGGAGGTAAAGAATCTCGAGCGTGATATCGCATGATAAGCACTGCTTCGAGGGATCCTCTTACACAGGATACGGGTTAAAAGCTTGCCTTTGAAGTCGCAAGCTTCATGTAAAGATGTACGATCGAAATGGATGTTCACGTTACGATAATGGCACTTGTGTCCCAAAGCTAGCTTTTTCACCCCTTTTTTTTAATTAGTTGAAGGATTTTAGGATTATAATTAAAATATTAATAATAATAATTATAATGTATCTTAATTAATAAAATAAATATATTTCTTACAATTAAAATTAATATTGAATAATTCTAATATTATATTTTAATTATAAGAAGTATTTATTTTTTTTTATTATATATTTGTATAAATAAATGCTCTACGTTTTCTATATTTTAATTATAATAAAAATATAGAAAATGTAAATGATATCTATTCGAAAAAATACACGTATATAAGTTTGCAATTTAGAGAAAGAAGTCGTGTTCTCTTTTTTAAAGTAGAGGCATAATATGGTAATACATGATGCATATACAGCATCGCCAAGTACTTTGACTTGTAGTATGAGTAGACGAAGAAATTTTACGAGATTCTTAAGGTGCAATACAAACACGATGGCTTCTCGAAAGTTATCCGCATCACTTGTATCTGCGATATTCCAGCTTCGGGCCTGTAAAGTTCAATTTACGACAACGAAGGTTTAACATTTCTAACGTACCTTCGGTACTTATCAGCTATCTTTGATGCCGTAAAAAGCGTAGCTTTGCAATTTGCTTGACGCAACTTATTAGCGAATCAAATGATAATTTTTCTGTCAATCTCGAGATTCACAGCTTTGGTGAATAAAGAAGATATTTAAACAGTTCGCATATAGCTTCCATGTATTAATTTTATATTCACAAATAAATCTAACTTCTATTAAATTTTCACAGTTTCGTTTTGTTTTCCATTGATACGTGTTATTTTGTTTGTTTTGAAAAAACTATTTAAAATATATAATATATAAATTCTATAAATATATATATATATATATATATAAATTATTTATTATAAATATATATATATATAAATTATATAAATATATAAATTATATAAAATATTATATTATTTAAAGGTTGAAATGGTATCTTCATACTTCACTTAATCTTCATACTTTTAGAGAACAAGAGGAATCAATTCGAGTAAAAGCACGTAGTTATCTTTAAGAAAAAATGCAGTTGCTAGTTGCAAATTACATAATTTTAAATAATGAAAGAATAAGGAGAAAAGAAGGAAAGTATTGAAATACGCGAGGGTTTCGCGCTTTAATCGTTAAATACGAGAATGATCCCCGTTGAAATCCAAAGCCAGCTGCTATCTGCTGACACAACTGTCACTGATAGCACGAGATGACGAAGAGGAGATCCATTCTCTATCCGCCGACGAAAGAGAAGGTTTTCTTCCGAGAAACCCTCCTTAATTTTTTTTCTTGTTGACTTCCGATAAAAATCAGCAAAAGCTTGCATCCGCATTCGAGAACCGATTCTCCTCATTAATTTCATGATTAATTTTTTAATGACGATGAACGAACTTTTCGAAGTCGGCACCAAATAAACGACGAGCGAATTCGACAAGTTACAATGAACGAATCTATCGCCTTCTCTTATGATCGAATCGTTTTCATAAGAATGTAATTATTTTTGATTCAAAAAGTTCATTTTTTTTTATTTTGTAACAAATATTCCAAATATAAAATATGTCATTTCAAAATACTATAATTATAACGATAATTAAAAAATACACATTTTTAATGCTAAGTTCTCCAATCCTTTTTTTTTTTTTTTTAATATATTTGTATAATATATTAATGAGAACGAGATGTCAAATACTTCTTGTCGATCAAAATAGTATCACAAAGTATATGTGTGTGCGTATATTTCGCTCCGAGAGTAAAAATAAACAGGGCTGGACCAGGACGTGCATTTAAATTAGCATTATAATGGATTCATAATACATGCACTTACGCTCTGCTACGCTAGATATAACTTCAATGTAATGCGTATGCAACATATATGCATATAGGCAGACCTGCATCGGGATGCACCGGGTGTCTCGAAGGTATCGTGCATAATCGTTCGACCATAGATCTCTTGATGAATTTAGGCTTTATTAATTAATCTAAAAAAAATAATAATAATAAAAATAAAAACTGACAGCTCTGACATATCTATATTTTTTTAGGGTTTACCAGGTGCCTCTGGATTGCCTGGTATGCAAGGTGACCGAGGTGACACCGTTTACGGTGTGAAGGGTCAACTTGGTGAACAAGGAGACAGAGGAGAGCCTGGTTCACCGGGTAAGGACGAGTACAAAAAGAAGGAAAAATCGACACCCGTGAAAGGTCCGGCAGGGCAAAAGGGCATGAAGGGCGACTACGGCGGGCGAGGTTACAAGGGAGAGATGGGTGCCAAAGGTCCACAGGTGATTCATTCGCAAATTGTTTTCATAATTTTAAAAAATTATAAAAGATATTTTCAAAAATTATTTGAAAAATGATAAAGAATGATAAAGAATAAATTTTGAAATATTTATTTAAAAATTCATGAGTTTCAAATTTTTATTAGAAAATGTAATAAGATAAAATAAAGAAAGTAACATAATGATAAAATTTGTTTAATAAGGATAAAAGGTATTTCAAAATACATTAATGAAAAAATGAAAAATCATATCTAATATATAAGAAAGGCAATAAGATAAAATAAAGAAAGTAACGTAATGATAAAATTTGTCTAATAAGGATAAAAGGTATTTCAAAATACATTAATGAAAAAATGAAAAATCATATCTAATATATAAGAAAGGCAATAAGATAAAATAAAGAAAGTAACGTAATGATAAAATTTGTCTAATAAGGATAAAAGGTATTTCAAAATACATTAATGAAAAAATGAAAAATCATATCTAATATAAAAACACAGATGCGATTGCGTTTTAGAGTTAAAATGTAAATTTCTGGCACAGGGTCGACCAGGTTTCTTGGGCATCAAAGGCGTGAAGGGCGAGCAGGGTGGCGATGGACCAAGAGGTAAACAGGGTGTCGATGGTCCACCAGGTCCGGCTGGCGAGAAGGGAGAGAAAGGAGCTCCAGGATACGCAGGATTGCCTGGTCGGGATGGTTTAGATGTAAGTGTATTACATGTTATATGTATAACAAGAAGAAAATAATACAGTCATATATATATATATCTGATTTTTATTAATCAGAATCAAATTGATCTAAATAAAATTTATATCGTATTAAACACGCCCTATTTATTATTTAATACATATTAATATTATACTCATTTACTGCCTTATTATTAAAGGGTGAATCAGGAGAGGAAGGTAATCGTGGTCCACCTGGCAGACAAGGCGCCGAAGGAGAACCTGGACTATATATTCCAGAACTTGATGAAATAATCGCCGGAAATATCGGAATTCAAGGAGATCTTGGTCAGTACATATTTTTTCCATCATCAAAATATATTTTAGAATATATATAATTTTATATGTATAGTCATGTTAATGTAAATATATCAATAAATATTTATTAATATTATATACATAAATCATTATTAATATATTTAAAAATATATTATAATATTATATTAATGATATTATTATTCAATAATATTATTTCTCGAAAAAATAGAGATCTATTTTTAATTAAAAATAACCTTTGAAATTTGTTTGCTTACAGGTCCTCTTGGTGAAGCTGGTGAAACAGGAACACCAGGTTTGCCAGGAAAGGTCGGTTTCATAGGACCGCCAGGACTACCAGGACCACCTGGTATTCCTGGTTTAGGTGGAGCGAAGGGTTCATCTATAAAAGGAGAACAAGGAGACGATGGTAAATGATTATTGCTTTTTACATCGATGTAATAAATTATTTTAGTACATTAAAAAACATGATAAATAATAATTGATCATTTATGAATTATTCCAGGCTTACCGGGATCCATGGGACCTCAAGGACCTCCCGGACCACCCGGTTCACCCGGAATTATAGGAGCTAAAGGCTTTCCAGGCATAACGATAGTTGGACCGCCAGGACCAGACGGTACTTCGGGCCTTCCAGGATTGTCTGGTCCCCCTGGCGATCGCGGTGATCCTGGTCCTCCAGGTAAAACCAGAACTTATTCGAAGATATAATCATAAAATTTTATAGATTATCAAATTTATATACATTAAGGCTTCTATTTTACATACGAAGTTTAAGAGACAAATTTATGAGTATAAAAACTTATGTTATTTTTCTATTATCAAGTCATTAATAATATCGTTCTATACATTTTATATGTAAATAATTTTAATTTACTATAATTATAATTGCTGCGTAGGAGAGAAAGGTTTTCCTGGGAAAGGTATAAGAATTCGTGGACCACCTGGAGAACGAGGTCTGCCCGGAACGCCAGGTATTCCTGGTCCCGATGGCTGGCCTGGCTTATCCGGGGCTAAAGGTTTCAAAGGTATTCGAGGAGATGACTGCGGCGTATGTGCACCAGGTAAGAAAGATATTTTAATTGATATAAATTAGGTGAACATAATTAAGAACATCATTTTTTGTTAATTATTATTTTTCGTTAATTGCACAGGTCTACCCGGTGAGAAAGGAGAACGCGGTGAATCTGGCTTGGACGGGTATCCTGGAGCTTCGGGATTTCCTGGATTACCCGGTCCTCGGGGATTCAAGGGAATACAAGGAAAACGAGGTTTAGTCGGACCGGCAGGACTTGAAGGTGATAGCGGAAGATCCGGTATTGCAGGCGCACAAGGACCCAAAGGAGAAGCGGGAATAATATATTTCCCGCCAGACGAACAGTTCCTGAGTCCGTCCGGTGACTTTGGAGAAAAAGGCTTACCCGGTCCCGAAGGACTCAGGGGTCCGCGAGGACAACCGGGACCTATCGGTGACACGGGTGTACCGGGACCAAAAGGAGAAAAGGTCTTATCTGACTTCATACACGTTTATTAAAAACAATAGGATTTATATTTTAGATTAATTTGGAAACTTTTTTCCGATCACTAATTTAAAGCTTTTTGTCATATTGTCTAATTCGATAATAGGGTGAACATGGCCATCCTGGATTATCGGGAAGAGATGGTTTACCGGGATGGGACGGCGTTCCTGGTGAAAAAGGTGACGATGCTTCGGTACCGATCGAATTTTTACGCGGAGATCCAGGATATTCGGGAGAATTTGGAATCAAAGGAATACAAGGAGACAAAGGGCTCAAGGGAGAACCTGGCGAGTCCGCGGAATACGTCGCGGACAGTAAAGGTGACAAGGGTTATAAAGGTGCCAGAGGATCTCCCGGTACGTTAAAACACTATTGATACAAATGAGATAATATTATCTTTTGTAACTAATTATCAATTATTCGAAAATTTTATAATTGTATAGAGGTAATTTGTACAAATACAACTTGTGTCAAAATATGAAAAGTTTTAAAAGAATTTATATAAAATTTAATTTTGCAATTAATGGAAAAAAATAAAAACAGAAGTGTCAAGTATTCGTGATATTCTCGTAGGAGAGACCGGTTTTAAAGGGTTCCAAGGACATCCCGGTGACGAAGGTTTACTAGGATTACCTGGTGAACCCGGTTTCCCAGGTATATCACGGCAAGGTGCTGGAGGTTTGAAAGGTTATCCCGGAATGCCGGGAGAGCAAGGACTTCGTGGCACACCAGGCTCACCTGGATCGCAAGGACCTGTTGGTTTTCCAGTAAGTAAATTGAAGACGTTTAATTTCTACTTTGATAATTCAGTTATAAATATTATCTATATAAATAAAATTAATAATTTTTTTGTTAAATAACGAATTAAAACTATATTACACGAAAAAAATTCGCACAAGTAAAATAATGCATGCATATCTATTTATTGTAGGGTCGCGTTGGCAACAAAGGTGATCGAGGAGATCCAGGCACAAATCTAACTTATGGTGAAATTGGAGAACGGGGATGGTACGGTCCAAAAGGTGACTTTGGTGATCCTGGTCCTCAAGGATTACCTGGCCGACCAGGAGAGGATGGTCCAAAGGGTGTCATTGGAGCTAAAGGAGCACCCGGTTATGAGGGACTTCCTGGACTTGAAGTAAGTACACATTGTACACATTCTTCTTTATTAGAAATTCTAAAGATTATTTCAAATTAATATCAGAATAGTCTTATTAAATATTTTCAGACAAACTATACTAAATTTGATGTATGTTCTAGGGAGCCAAAGGTGTACATGGAGATACTATACAAGGTGACCGAGGTTTTCCGGGTACACCTGGTCAGCCTGGAATGCCTGGAAGAATCGGAGACATCGGTATCCGTGGTAAGAGAATCAATGTCCATGTAATCGTAAAACAAAGTCATTTGATACAGACACAATTTAAAATTTAGATAAAATAACATTAGATAATATTGATAGTCAGAGACCAATTCAAATTCCAGCTTTCAATCCGATTTATTGCTACTTGATTTTTTATTTTATGTCTATAAAATGACTTTATTATTTAAGAGAAAATTAATCGCGCATCCATTTTTAGGCCCTGATGGTCCTTCCGGTTTTGATGGAATGAAGGGCTTGAAAGGAGAGATCGGTTTTATCGGACGACGCGGTGACGATGGTGACACAGGACCTCAGGGATATCAAGGAATGTACGGGCTACCGGGTCTACCGGGTGCTCCAGGAGAAAAGGGAGATGTCGGCGAGATTGGCGACCCGGGACCAGTCGGCTGGCCAGGTTTCGATGGTATAGACGGAGCATTCGGTCCTAAAGGAGAAGCGGGAGACATCGGAATTCCCGGAGCACCAGGAGTGAGAGGATTACCTGGACCCCAAGGCGTTATTGGCGACAACGGTCTCGAAGGACTGTGGGGTGCTCCTGGTGAAAACTCGTTCAGTGGTCCTCAAGGTGACATCGGTGAACCTGGTTTTATGGGAGAAGTTGGACCATTCGGTCTGGCTGGATTTGATGGACGACCAGGATTACCAGGAGAACCCGGATTAGCGACTGATGGTTTTAATGGTTTGCCAGGACAGAAGGGCGAACCTGGCTTCGATGGATACGATGGCACCGTGGGACCAAAAGTAAATGCACTTTTCTTGTCGAAAAGTTTTAAGCATTTGATTATAATAATTATAGGATTATAATTAAACGATTTTAATTTGCGAATTTCTATTATGTATATAATTTTTGTTACGTAATTCTCGAATTTTTTATGTACATAGGAATTTACGACATCATGAAAATTTACATTTCAACATTTCTAATTTTACAGGGAGAAATTGGTGACATGGGTCCTGATGGATTGAAAGGTGAACGAGGCGATCAAGGTTTCTCCGGAAGACCAGGTTTACCTGGTATATCCGGTAAACATGGCGTGAAAGGTGAATGGGGTCCGATTGGACCTCCTGGATTCGATGGACTGAAGGGAAAACGTGGTCTCGATGGTGATCCAGGTCTAATGGGTAGACCAGGTAATATTCAATCTCCGTATATCTTTATGTAAATTACATATTTTATAAAATCTTTATACATTAGAATGAAAGCTCACCAGATCAAAATACATAAATTACAGTAGAATATATGTTCTATTAAATTAATAGGAATTAAGTAATTAAATGAATATATGAATTCACCTTAAGTATTTTGCATCAGGAATGCCGGGTGAACCGGGTGTGAGAGGTTTCCCGGGTATTTTGGGTGCTCCTGGACCGAAAGGCCATGTGGGCGAACCTGGCTTACCTTCTTACTCCTTCGCGGAAAGGGGTGACCACGGTAACCAAGGTCACGATGGTTTGGCTGGTGTGAAAGGAGAACTAGGTAATTCAGGATATATCGGAGTGCCCGGCCGTAAAGTGAGTGGACGACTTTATAATTGAAGTAGATGTCAAACTTTAAAGAAATTATTGACTTCTTTGTGTATATAGGGTGAAATTGGAGACAGAGGATATCCGGGTTCCGTTGGTTTCCCAGGATTACCTGGTTTCCCTGGTCTACCGGGTGATCAAGGACTTCGCGGAGCTCCAGGTATAAAAAAAATGTGTATTTAATTAATCAAATCAGATGTATAAATTCGTGAAAAATATTATCTGTTCAACTTCTTTGCCATAGGTCTACCTGGTGAGTTCGCCGAACCCGGTGAAATTGGTCGCGCTGGTCTGGATGGTATGCCTGGTGTCCCAGGTCGTCCTGGACAAAAAGGAGCTCCTGGTGAATATGGTCCGAATGGACCTAAAGGAATCTCTGGTGACAGGGGCTATAGCCTTCACGGTCCTAAAGGAATTACGGGAGATCCAGGTATCTATTATCATTACACATTTAATCGATTCTTTTTGTTTTTAATATAGTTAATTCGATAATTTATTCTTTCCCCGAGAGAAATACTTTGAGCTTTATAATTTATTACTACGTTCTGAACAGGTCCTAGAGGATTCGTTGGTATACCAGGCGCACCAGTTTGGAAGGATTGCAAGGCTTCCCCGGAGCACCAGGTCCGAAAGGTTTCCGTGGAGAACCAGGAATATCCGCGGGTAGCCGGAAAGGACAACCCGGTGAACCTGGATGGCGTGGATTAGATGGTCGAACCGGACCGAAAGGATTAAAAGGTGACTCCGGTCTACCTGGTTTTGACGGATTACCAGGACCAAAAGGAGAAAGGGGAGAGCTTGGTGAACCTGGCCAATATGGATTACCTGGTCATGAAGGACCACAGGTAAATTTCGCGAGTTCCAATCATCGTGATTAGGTAGTAATATAATTAAATATAATATAATATAATTATTTAATATAATAATATATATTAATATATAATAATATATATTATTTAATTTAATATAATTTAAGAGAGAATTAAAATTGTTTCGACATAATAATTCAATGAATTATAATTATGTCACCACATAATAAATATTCGATGAATTAAAATTATGTCGAGACAATTTTAATTCATCGGATTCTTATTAGTATTTTTTTTCATGTAGATATATTTAATAGAAAAAAGAAAAAATACTTGAAATACGTACTAAAAGAGATCGATGTAAACTAAATCATTATGAGTAATTATATTTTCTCTGACAGGGACCAAAAGGAGAACCCGGATTCAATCCTTTCCCGCCTTTCCCGAGAAAAGGACTCGCCGGTGATATAGGAGTTTCCGGATTGCCAGGTACTATCTTTTTCTTTCCAGTAAAATAATTATACTTTAATCAATGGAAGAGTACATACAATTAAAAAAATATTACATGGACAGGTTTCCCTGGACAACAGGGAATGATGGGTGAACCTGGCAAGGATGGTTTACCTGGACGAACAGGTGAAAGAGGTATGATCGGTTTCTCTGGACCACAAGGACCGGACGGTAAGGATGGACCTCCCGGATATCAAGGTCCTCCTGGAACAACCGGGCGACAAGGACCACCAGGTATATGTTCAATTATTTGACACTGAAAGATATAATTTTACTCTTAGAATCAAAACCTATTATCAGAATTTAATGTCGATTATTTTTATCTATATTAAATTGAGAAAATCAATTCTCAGGTTTCCAAGGCGCACCTGGTGCACCTGCATCGAACGGGATTGGCCCAAGGGACAGAGGTTTCTACTTTGCTCGTCACTCGCAAACCGAAATGATACCGACCTGTCCGAGGAACACTGTAAAGTTATGGGAAGGATTTTCTTTATTACATACTATGGGTAATGGCCGACCCTATACTCAAGATCTCGGTAAGTAGCATATTAATTATTTTTCTAAACTAAATCATGTTGACATGTCGCAAAATTCAGTATATAAATAACTTTAATTTATTTCACGTAAACTTTCTAAAATTAAAACATCAATTTCACAATTATTGCCTTTGTAAAATATATTATTAATAATTATAAGTATATAATAATTAAGTTGTTATTAAATATTAAGTAATTTATAATATACGATAACATTAAATAATTATATAATATTTAATTAAATATTAATATGTGTAATATATATAATTAATATATAATTAAAGAATGGTAAATTACACACAAATAAGCGTAATTCTCGAATAATAAATTTTTGTTATTCAGGCACTGCTGGCAGTTGCATCAGGAAATTCTCTACTATGCCCTTCCTATTCTGCAATTTAAACAACGTATGCGATTACGCCAATCGTAACGACTATAGCTACTGGCTTAGCACAACTGAGCCTATGCCAATGAGTATGACGCCAATACCGGCACCGGAAGTCGGTAGATACATATCCAGATGTTCCGTTTGCGAGGCACCTACAAGAGTAATAGCTGTCCACAGTCAATCCATGGCGATACCCCAGTGTCCGGGTGGCTGGAAGGAAGTCTGGGTCGGATACAGTTTCCTCATGGTGAGATAATCGATTCTCAAACATGATTCGATCAAAATTCCATTAATTTTTAAATAACATACGAACCAAATGCTTTAAATCAATATTAAGAGACATCAGTATTTTGGTGCTATCTTTACTAGCTAATTTTATATTTTAAATATATTTTCCATTAAGATAATACATTTCTTTTACGAAAATATAGTTTATCAAACTTGATATCTCTTGCCTATACAATATTATAACAAATATAATAAATTATTCCTTTTCCTTCATCTACTGATCAAACGAACTTTTCAACGGGGTTTCTTAGCGGAAATTATAAATACTTTTCTGAATTACAGCACAGAGACGCAGGCGCTGACGGCGGTGGTCAGTCCTTGGTCTCGCCTGGATCCTGCTTGGAGGAGTTCCGCGTCAGGCCATTCATCGAGTGCCGCGGCCTGGGCACCTGCAACTACTTCGCCACCGCGACGTCGTACTGGCTGGCTACCATCCGCGACGAGGAGATGTTCCGCAAACCGCTGCAGCAGACGCTCAAGGCCGACCACACGTCCCGGGTGAGTCGCTGCGCCGTGTGCATCCGCCAGCGCGGCAGCGAGGACGAGCCTTACCCAGGCAGGACGACGGTCCTGAAACCCTACACGTCGAACAACGAACGACCAACCAACAACGTCTACTACCCTCCGGCGCCGCCGCCTCGCTACCCTCCCGACTATCAGCCCTTGTCAGCGCCACCCTCGTCTAGGTATTCCAGCTACAACAGGCCACAACAGCACTTCCGCAGGAGAGGTCACGTGCGCGGCAGGCACGGCGAACGACCGATAAAATTGCCCGACAATCCATAGATCAGCAATGAGAATCAAGAGAAATCAGATCAGTGATGACGCAAGGGCGTAGCGAGTCTATGTATATAAAGAAGCAGGAGGAAATCTTTTTTTTAATATATATAATTAGTTAAGTTATATTCCGGGCCAGGTGCTTTTAGCTGTAAATCTTATACCGGGTTTAAAGCAACGGATAACGCGTATAAATATTCAGGAATATTCTGCAGAGAAGTTCAAAATAAAACAGACGGTCTCTTATCTTATATTTAGAAAAAACGTGTCGATTAATAATAATTAATATTAATAAAAATTAATATTCTACTAATAAATTTAAATGAATAAATCTCTTCATGTATTCCATATTTTTCTCTCAAATTAAAAGTGTTATTTTCGAGACTCCTGTTGGTACCAGGAATTCTGGGGTCACTTATCTCCAAACATTCTTATCTCAAACTCCTCTGTTGCTCTTGAGAATTTGTCGGTGTTACTCGTTCTTATCCTGTACGTGCAAGGTTCATGCACCTAGTCTCTTCCTGTGTGTCCGATAAAAAGCGCCGCCGGCAAGCCATATAAACTGCCTTTAACAATGCCAAATAAAAAAAAAATAAAATCCATCGCCATCCGGCCATCGCAAACTGCCAAAAATAACATCGCGCTCGCCGTCGCGATGTTATTTAGATGAGATTACGAGAATATGATAATTAAATTAACGTTATGTGTACGTTGTATCGATATCGTATGACCATATACCGCATTAAATAAAGATCTTTTTGTATAAGCTAATTGATGTCTTTCCAAAACATACCATATTGCTCCTTTTCGTAAAACTTATAAATATCATAGCGCAAAAATGAATAATAAATTGAATATTAGCTATATATCAACAATTTCTCAAATTATCGATTTATAACAAAATTTTGTCTGCTTGATGAAAAAAGTAAAGAGAAATTGAGCTTAATAAAATTAATTCTTGTACTTTACATCTCGTTAAGATTATTTATAATCTAAAAATAATATATAACACTGAACTCTTCACTATATCTGAAAACTAAAGTACAAACGAAAATAATGAAAGGAAAGGAGAGCGTCAGGAATATATCTCTTATATAAGACATTGACAAAGAAACTATTTGAAAGAGCCAAACTGAAAGAAGCAGAAGAGCGTTGAAATTATTTGACATTTTAATAAAAGGCGAACGGGCCTTCTTTAGGACACGCATACAAGCTCGTCGTACGAAAATGAACGTACACGGTGAGAGATCGATATTATTATATTTATATTTATAAAATTATTCATCATTAGAAAGCACATATGATCTATCTATATGACGTAATTTGCTACGCACACCCGCGTACGAGCGTGCCTACGAACAACGCACGCATCCACATACATACACACACACATACACACACATACACTCTCGCACACACATACTACGCGCGTAAATCACTACGACGTTCTATCTCGCGCACACTGACATAAGCACGCACACGCGCGGACATACACAAACATGTACGTGCATACTTGTATAATCTCGTGATCCTTTTTTCCTGCATCTCTCACTCTCTTACTCTTCCTTTTTTTTTAATACCATTCTCTCTCTCTCTCTCTCTCTATCTTTCTTCTCTCTCGTACTATACGTATCCAGACGTTCACAGGCGAGTACATGCCTATGTATGTACGTGTACATATTCAGAGTACCTCACGGATGTGTTCTTTTTATAAGGAGATTACAACTTTGTAACTGCTTCTTTTTTTAATTGGAAGAAAAAGCAACAGGGGACACACAACAGCAGGCCAAATATTTTTATGTCATCACAGTATCAATCATCATCGCGTTATCATCGCCATCAATATATGTCGTTTTCCTCAGACACAAACGTCTTATACTCAATTGCATACAAAATATCGAAAGCAACACTCTCGCGCGCGATCCAAAGTCTCTTTTTTTCTCTTCCATCTCCCTTTCGTTACGTACATACATTTCGAACAAAAGATTCCGAGCTGTACTACTTATCCGTAAATTAAATTCGAAATTTAAATCACACGAATCCCTTTTCCTTTCGCTGAAAGAAGACTTTTCTTTTAAATTTAACAAAAAAACCATGAGACGGACGCATATAAATATATATAATACACGCCAAATAACTCTATAAATATAATAATACACGCCAAATAACGCTAATAATTGCCACATGCACGTCCGTCCAAATCACATTTGAAAATCACGACCGAAACGAACCGGAAAAGAGAAACGTTCATACGAGAAAGACAAATTTTTCGTTCATGCAAAAAAAAAAAAAAACAAAATAAAATAAATTACAATCAAAGTCAACCGACGTTTCTCGTGCTATTCGCGTTACATATTATATATTTGCAAGTCCCATCGCGTCACACTCATTCAAAAAACCTCCGGTAGCGATTTCTTCCAACTTTTTTTTTTTTTAAATAGATGTGGTGAACTTCCTGGAAAAATAAGACACTTGCGTGAGATTTCTTTCATATGTATGTATACACGCGTATACGCACATACACACGCGTAGCGCCGTGTGCATATACACGTGCAATAGGTGTATCGATTAGAAGATTTTTCTTTTTTTCTCTCTCATTTATATATAACAACATATGTATGTGTGTGTGTCGTTTAGAAGTAATTTAGTGTGCATCTAAGACCCAAAAGAGAATTATTATACCGAGCTATGCAAAATAGAAGATCGATTTCTCCTCTTTTCTTTCTTTCTTTCTCCTTTCTTTTTCTCTTCGTCTTCGCCACATGTATAGATATATAAATATACGTCAATTTATATATCGATTATACATAAATAATATCCGCTATCTATTACTTATGTATAACGCGTACATAAACCCACTATACATATATATACATATACATTTATACAATATATATTTATATTTATATTTATATATATAAAGGTACTCTTACTATTGAATAGAAATATGCATATTCCATTGTGTTCAATAATATCAATAGTGATATATATATATAATAATAATAAAATAATAATATATAATAATTATCCTTACTATCATATAATATAATAATATAGTAATTGCAACAAGAATATTGGTAATAGTGATAATAATAATGTCGATAATAATAATAATAATAATAATATAATAAAATAAAATAATTAATAGTTATTACAATATAATAATAGTTATAATCATATTAACACAACAACAAGTATTCTTTGTCACATTTTGGTTGCAGATTTTCTTTACAATCACAAATATATATATTATTCATAAATGTAATAGTCGAAAGGATGTTAAATTAAGGAGAATACGTGAATATAGAGTGCTCTATTTTCTTTCTTTTCTCTCTGTGTAGATAATTAAATCCTATAAATAGTATATCTCTATCTTCAACAGCCAGTGGTATTTTAGTAAAGTATACCTTATTTTTTATTTTTATCTTTTTTTTTGTTGAGGTACCTATATATAGTGTTTCCTCTCCTCGTTTTTCCGCCCTTCTTGTTGATATATATACCAAATACAATACTGACGGAGAACGTGACATGCACACACGCACACATACACAAATATAGCATACATACATACATACACAAATCTATCGACAGGTAAAATGCGGATGTGGGCTTATCGTCCGTATGCCTGCGATCTTTGCAGCGTATATATCTTTTCGTTCGTTTTCTAAAACTGGGGAGATAACGAGAGTTCGACGAGAGAAAGATTCTTTCTTTTTTTTCCAAAAATAAACAAAAAGAAAGAAAAAGAAACAAGCGTCGCGAATCGATTCTTTCGCGCCAGCATTCTTGACAAAATCACAAGCGTATACCTCCTCTAGCAAATCTTTACACAGCCAAAACGAAAACCTAAACTTTTGGTCCTTCGAGTTTTTTTTTTTTTCGAAAAGCAAAAGGAAAGGGATAAAGTCCAGCTGTTCTCCCTTCCTTTTGCTCCATCTCTCACTCTTTATACAACATCTACATAATCCATCTCTATCTCTATATAATTTATTCTCCTTTTTTCTTATTTCTTTCTCTCGCTCGCTCGCTCGTCTCTCTTCTTTTTTTCTTCTCGATGTTGATCGACGGGCAACATTCTTCTAGAGAGCACCGCGCTAAGTTTTGCATTGTATTTGGTGATACGTATATGAATACTGACTCCGTGTATGGCGTTACATATAATACAATAGTATCCATTACGTATAAGAATGTATATGCATTTCATAATTTTTTCTCTTTTACCCTCTCTCTCTCACACACACACACAAACATTCTCTCTTTCTTTCCCTCTCATTCTTGCTCTCGCTCTCTTCTTTCATGTTTTTACGTCCTACATCTCCGTGTTTCGATCTCTCTGCACACACTCAAACATATATTACATATAATCTTTTACTGCGTGACGGGATGGTGGCCTGCAGTCACTCGGACAGTAGCTTCTGCAGCAACGACGACTTTGGATCACCTCGTGCCACCTCCTCCATAGTAGTCTGAAATTAAAAGACTTCATAAGAATTGGCTTATTTGTATTTTTTAAATGTTTACGTGAATTTTGAATCCAACCGCGGAGAAAGATTTGTTTAAATATCTTGACAATTTATGAATTTTTTTATCAAGACGCTTCGCCAAAAATTAAGAATTTTTATAAGAATTTTATAAAATTTTTAATTTTTTATGACCAAGTATTTACGAAATCAGATGTTTCTGGTAATACAAATCTGTAAAGTCAAAGATACTCATCAGTGAAACTAAGAATTCACAAAATATTTTCAAACTAATATTAAAATTATACATAGATTTGTAAATCTGAAATATTTGCGAAAATGATGTATAGGTCCAAAGAATAAACAAAATCTCTAAAGCGGATTATATCTATATTTCTCCGACAATCGGTTTGATCATCACTTTAATGAATAATCTACTGTATTTTTTTTTCTATCGTACAGAATCGAACGTTGATATCTTCAAGTATATAATTTTTCATATTCACGTATACTTGTATAGAATAATATATTAATTGTTCAGATCTTTGTCAAATAATACAAGAATCTCAAATACCCATATTTTCAATATATTCAGATGCATGAATCCATTCAATAAGATTCAGATATGTTTAAATAATGTTTCAGCCTGATACAATGTTAAAAAATAAAATCATACTAAAGCCACATAGCAACTACACATTCAATATCTCAATGCACGATAATGGCTGCTATGGCAGTAAAATTTTTTTAACAAAAATGCTCCGTTAATTGCCAATTGGATATTTTTCACAATTATGTAAATGAAAAATAAATCCTCGTCTTTTTACCAAGCAGATATCCAGCAGCATTGATAATTACTGAACTTTTCAATTTGTTTCATTTCCAGATATAATAAATTTTCTTTACATTCTAATAACTCTTGTATATAATAATTTGTATAATATTCTAAAAAAATAATATATTTTTATACCCTTAAATAAATTTTTAATTCTCTATTTTTTGTTCATCAAAAATATGATTAATATATTCTACATCATTTTACATATAATTCACACGAAAGTTGTCGCTGTAAAAGCGTTTATTTTATAAAAAAAATTGAGGCTTGTATGTCAAAAGTCTATAATCACGTTCTAGACGAGTTGCCTCTTCAAATAATTTTATAATATATAATTATTTAATATATAAAAATAAAGAAAGTTATATGTATACTTCAAGATTCATATAAATTAGAAATTAGATTGTCTTTCTAGATACTACACCTCCTCTTTTCGTAGCACTAGCGAGTCTCCTCATGCAACAAGAACAATCGCTCTCGAAGGAAAAAAAAATTTTAAATAAATAAATTCAATTCAACGCGCAGATATCTAGTTGGCTCACTGTGAAAAAGCATTACGATACTAGACGCACGTTATACAATGCAACAAATGGTAGTACGATTACTAATTAAGCTCCAAATGAGCTGAAGCTTACAACACCATCACCCTGTAGATACAAAAGAAGACACTTTACTTGGCATCGATTATATAGACGTTTAATACGGTAATGAATGCATAGCGCTCTAAAATCTTAAAATTAAAAAAGGACATTGAAGATCAAAAATCTAAAGTTCTTCTTAAAACGTGAGAAAAACTGCCTTCAATAATTAAGAGTTGTTTCTTTATTCATACACATATCTATATATTATATAGTACTAGAATGTAGTAACATAATAATATAGATTATCATTTGATCAATTCAGTCTAAATTAATAAAAGAAAAGCATTAATTATATAACTTTTTTTATAAGCTATGTTAAGTTTTCGATGACTTTTTTATTTTGCTGAGTGTATATGATCTCTAAAACTATTTTTAATGCAATGAATATTTTAATTACACATGTCTCATTAAGTTATATAATTCAGAATTGAATTTTTCTAAATAAAATTTCAACCGAATGTTACTATTATTTTTTCGTTTTTTTTTCTACGAGATTAAATCTTTTTGAACTTTAAATTTAACTTAAAAATTAAAGAGTTTATTTAAAAGTAGAGAATAAATTTCATCAACTATCTAATTCTAACTCCTACTCTAATATATAAAATGTATATTTCCGACATTTATATTAATGAAAGTGGATAAAATCACAAGATTAATAGAATATTATTGATGACGTTATCAGCTGTTTACGTAAGAAAAAAATACAAAAATTATAAAAGAAAAAAATTATTTGCAGTTAATTTAGCGCGTGAACGCGCTACATTATGCAAAGGCAATTAATTAATATGTTTAGCTATATAATGCGCCTTAATCGAATAACACTTTGAACAAAAATCCAGTTGATATAACTTAAAATCAACTTGTTCAATATAGCTACGTAAAAGAAAACAGCGTTTCTTAGGGGCGTAAAACACTGAGTGTAAAACTTAAATGTCTTCAGTAACTCAAGTTTAATGTGTCTTTGGAAAACAATTGTGTTCCTTAGATAAAACTTTTATTTGTGTAAAAGATAAATATTCTTATTTTTCTCAATATAAAAATATTGTTTCGAAAACTCTAAAATAGATTACATAAATTTCAATTTATATATGAAGATACAACTTTAACTAATTGTTATAAATTAATATAAAAATTTCACATAATTTGTAATTTTAAAAGTCTATGCAACAATTAAAAGGCTCGACAAAATAATTGAAAATTCACGTTCAACAAAGTCGCGCGATATTCATGCTACAAAAAAATATGAAAATGGATAAATATAAATTAAAAAAAATATATTTTCGTGTAAATGAATTTTTAATCATTTTGTGTTTTCTTTCGTTCCTTTCTTTACCTAAATAAAAATGTAAAGAAATACTACGATAATAATACTATTTTAATAAGCATGTAAAAAATATCTTTATAAAATTCCACACAATTTTAAAGATATTTTCTCCTTTCTAAATTTTAATCAGCAAATAAAATAAAAAAAAATAAGAATAGAAGGAAAAGTATATAAGAATAAATTCTACAACTATAAAGCTAATCCTTAACTGGGACGAATTAGAAATTCCTAAACTTTGCCAAATAAAGTCCATCAATTCTTCTTAATTCAATTATATCTTCAGAGCAAATTTTAATTCTACAGAGTAAATTCTACTTTAGCATACAAAAAAAAAGAAAGAGTTAAATTCTCTACTACTTCGCCATAATAAAAATTCGAGAAGATATCGTCACTCAGGAGCAACGATATGCAACAATGCCGAGATGTAGTCATCAAATGACGGCCTGCGCATGCATATGTAAAAAGAGAGCGCTAAAATACGAAATTAAAATTAAAAAAAAAAGTAAATATAATCCCCTACACAAGTTTTACGCTCAGTGCGCATAATAATAATAATAATAAAGAGAGAGAGAATCATTAAACATGTTTCGTGCACAATCAGTTCTGAAGCCAAGCGTATAGAAGGGAAGACATAGCATAACAAAATCAATAAAAAAAAAAATATGTAAAAGTAATTATATTGTCGGAATGTGGGGTTCTTACCCTGGAGGACGAGGGGGCACTTCCGGCACTCCCAATGGCCCAGCTCTTGGCGGGGCCATCGCTAACCACAGCCTCACCTAGTTGGGACATCGTAACAGTAGACGTTACCACAATCTTTGTAGAACAAGAGATATTATGCCTCTCTTTATTAAGAAGCGAGAGATTACGCAATTCAAATGAATCGGGAACGCACGTGCTGACACTTACACGTGTCTCGATCTATACTCGTAATATGATTTCTCAATCGAAGATTTCTTTTTGTCATAAGAGATTTATCTGGACACCAACGTCGTATGTTTGTTAAAATTCAATGAGACAGAAACAATTTTTTTTTCTTAATTCACTTTTACATTTCGAAGATGTGGAAAATAGAATTTTATTAGGAAAGATAAGAATCTTTTGCGAATTCAGAATTATCCTGGAAAAATTATTCTATAATAAATATCACGAAGAGACGTGGAATCTAAGGGAGATGCGTTGTATAAGTGTTTTATAAATTGTAATAATCGCGTGCGATAACACAAATCTAGAAAATGTGCATGATCTACAAGGGGGAAAAACTATACATAACTGCCTGTAATACTTTTTCACAGTACTCATTCGTGAAATTCACGTCATATACGAGAAAATAAGGACTGCGGAATTACACAATGTATAACGGAGTTGTGAGAGATTGCGATTCTCGATCAAATTCAAGAAAAATAAAAATGGAGAATAATCCTCCTTTATGGAAAGAAATGCAGAGGGAAACAAACTTAATTAAATTTATCTTGCCTTATCGCGAAATGGTCAAGCACCTTCGAATAATTATAATTTTTCTATTTTTCGTGTACGCTTAAAATGTAAAGCGTATCACAAAATCTCAATTTTTTGCAAATAAATGATTGCTGAGTGTTTTATAATTTTTTTCTATTATCTATATAACTCGTATACTAATTTCCCAATTTATAATTATCTACAAAAAATTATATATACTTATTATATGTATTTTTATTGAAAGCGCAATAATCAGGGTAATATAGATGAAACTATATAATTACTCTCATTTTAAATGCATAATTATTATCACATATCGAAAGAATCTTTTAAAAAATATAGGAAAATTTAATTTCTTGAAAATTCTCAATCTTGCTATGTGAGCTTTCAATCATCAAAGAATTTCAGTTGTATAGCTAATCACATTTCATCGTTTCTATACGACTTGGTAAGTAATTTAAATTACGGAACACGATGTAAGAGCTATATGTATAATACACGCATACCTGCAGAAGACATCTCGAACGTCAGACCAAGTGCTTCAAGATCGTCCTGAGAAACTTGACCAGAAAGATTGTTCTGTAGGTTGTTGGGTACTCTCTGTTGCTGCTGCTGCTGTTGCGTTCGCGCACCAACAATCGCCCGCAATTCTTGTCGTACAAATTCCGAGGTAGCGGCATTACCTGAGACAAGAAGAAAAATTTATGTAAGCAAGTCTCTCTTAGTCATTGCACGTCGTAATTTTCAATTTCGATCTGTGCTGCCTTTATGATCTTAACAATATATATTATATTGATTGAAAAAAATTACATATTATGTGAATTTTACTCAACCATTGTCACAATACAAGATTATAATTATAACATAAAAATTCTACGACGATATCTCAGAATATATAAATAAGAAAAGTAAATTAATTACCATTTTTGATGAAATTTTAATAAATTAAAAATACAAATAACTTGTCATTCCTCTATAATTAAATTTAAATAATTAATTTTTTTCTATAAATATTAAAATTTTATGATTAACACTTCTTTGTTTATTTGTCAACAAAGTATTTTAAAAAATATCATCGTGTACTTTCTCTGAACAATATACATAGATTCTTTAATGAATCTGGAATAGACTTTTCTTTTTTAATAAAGATTTAAATTCGTGTTCACAATTTTTTTAAATTTAAGTACAGTGTCTCCCAGTTGTAAGATCGTGAGTCATATCCTCATTTTTTTAAGTAAACAATAACCCTTACTCGATGCCGAAATAAATTTTCTAAAATATCATCTACTTTATTTTTACCTCACCCTCATCCATAATTCTTTAAAAACTAAAAAATAAAAACTTTAGCTATTTTTCATTCTTAGGAAAGTTAAATGATTGTAAGACTAAATACTAGCAAAATTAAGACCTATTTATATTATATAGACAAAGACGCATATCTCGCCTTGTAATTTAAAATTATAATATAATTTTAATAAAAATAATTATTTTAAATAATTTAAATAAAATAATGTTTCACGTTTTATCGCATAGAAATAGATAAATTTACTGTAACTGATAATAAACTGTCAGTTTATCTTAAATTCGATACGCCGAATCGTCCTCTATTATACATGTACAATACCAATCACAAAACGGATTTTGACAACAGCGCGAGCGGTTTAGAAAAACATCAGAAGGCAACGTGTCACCAAATTGGAACATTCTAGATTCTAGAAGACGAAAACTAGCATTATATAACGGTACATTTTTGACTGTGCGTGAATAGATTTTCAGACAACGACCGAGCGTTTTCTAAAAGTAACGATCTTACAAGTAGAAGACAATATATTTCGATAACTAAATGGAAACATTCTAGAAGAAGAAAATTGACATTGTATAGCGAGGCACATCTTTGTCTAGTGTGAATAGATTTTCAGACAACGATCGTTTTCTAAAAGTTATGACTTTACAAGCGGAAGACAATGTATTTCGGTAAGTAAATTTAAAATTAAAATTATATTAAAATATAGCATTAAAAATGTATAAATAACATTACATGATAAATAATATTTTATAATTTAATATTATTTATCTCTAGAAGATTAATGTGTCGACGATAAAAAGACACAAATAATATTCTATATACAACATTGAACAGTCGTGTTAATAAAAGTCAACACATAGAATGTAAATTATTCTTAATTAATAAATTACATATTCTTCTTAATAGAATCAAGAATATAATAAATAAAATTTAATAATATAACTCAGACCCGTCTTCGAACTTTCAGTAATAATGAAAAGTCATGCAAAACCAGTCAAGGATAAACAGGAGAAACGATACAAACATGTTATTTGTTTTTCTAAGGATCCTAATATCTGTTGGCTTTTATTAGCTCGATTTTTCGGTTTTGTATATTGCAGAGCCGTGTGAATCTTTTTCTGATAATAATCTATTTTCTTTCTTTGCAATTAAAGAGAAAGTGCACGATGTATCTCCAAACTATCCTATATCTTATAGATATAAAAGTTGCATATGACGAAATCTCTTAGAAGACAAGTGGTGCATATACATTATGATATAGAGATCGATGAGGGGCTGATGCGCAAAATATAAAAATATTAATCACGTAAGCTCGATGCATTGTACATATAAAAGAGGCTTCGTCGTGTTAGTAAAAATGTTTCCACAGCACGGTAGAGATAAGCGGTGCTTGAATTTATCTTTTTACATTGAAATGTTATATTATACACAGATGAGAACACACAACACGTGACAATGATGAGAGAATGATGATCAAAGATGGTGTAAAACCCAGACAGACACATTTAACCACTCATTTTTTTAAGTGTCTTCCTCGCAAGAAAGATACATGAAAAAAAAATTGCCCTTTCTTCTCCACATTCCTGGAAATACTTCAATGATGTTGACGCGTCATTAGAATTCTAATGCAAGCTTATGGCTACGGTGTTCCTCAATTTACAAATACGCTTTGCACACTACGGAAAATATTACTATACAGTCAAGCTGCTCCTCTATAGTGTAGTCTCAAAATTTTCGATTCTCTATTCTATAATCCTTCGGATTAGGTAGTAAAAGTTTCGTACTTCTTCTGGTTTAGTGAGAATAGTCGAACGGACAGTAATAGTGACAAGCAGGTAAAAAAAAAAAAAAAAAAATTTCTTCCTCTGCCATATGCTTAGCAAATGATTCAGTTCATTGTGTATAGAAAAAGAGACACTTCCCATCATTTTTGTTCTCAGTTTTGCGTGTCTTTGAATTTTCGGTATTTTTTGCTTCTCTCACCCACATCTATTCCCACCTTATTTCTCGGTTATCTACAAAAAATTTAACTTATTGTTAGAAGAGTTCGACTGACTATAGAGGACTTGCTCGATGCCGATGAGTCGAGATTAAAGGCTAACAACATATATCTCCCCTAACTATTAATATACGATATTAATATAATACAACCGAATATATGTATAACAATGGCGCAATTCCGTGTGACGGAAACTTAGAATATTGTTAAAGCAAAGTTATTATGCGATGACATATGCGTGGACGATAATATGACATTTGCAATGTTAACATATTCACACATAATGGCATTACTTTCAACAATAATTTTTTCAATAAAAAAAAATCAGTGTATCTTAAATATATAATTATTATTAATTATTACAGAAATTTTACCTTTATATATATATATATATATATATATATATATATAAAAGTTAAAATATATAACAATTTCGAGTACAACGATTTCAGAGTATAATTAACTATATAATATTCAGTAATATATTATAATATATAAAATGTGAGAGTGAGTAGTGCATATATAAAAATATAACAAATCGTGTATTTATACAGATAAATTTTTACATTAATGTAAACCTCTCTCCACATTTTCTACGTTGTCTTAATAAATATATAGAAGAGAGTTTTATTAATATAAAGATTTAGCAATATCTATATTTCTAATATCACATCCATATCACTCTAATATTTCTAATATTAAGGTGCAAATATAGCGCGCTGAATCTGATCGTGTCCATGTGTATGTTGCAGTGTACGAATAATTTTTTTTTAATAGATAGAAAGTCACAGAAATATGAAATATGATAAGCATTCAGCATTACAATCATAGTTATAACATGGATAATTAAAAGTATAAAGAAAGCATTACATGCAACATTTAACACATAATCCTATTACAGTTTATGGAAAATGCTAGAGTATGTTTAATTGTGTGTCAAATATATGTTAATAAGAGTGTAATTCTTTCAAATAATTGAGGCATAAATTTCATTAATTTGACAATTTACATATAATAATATTATCAATATAGTAATATATTTTAATTTATATATAATTATATATAAATATTTAATATTAATATAATGATATATATATATATATATATATATATTAATATTTAATTTATATATAAATTAAATTATATACTTCTACATAATATATTTATATAATTCATATATTTTTTCTCTATTATAAAATTTAATTTATAATTGTTTTACGCGCACAGCGCGTTCAGATAATTAATTGAATTCGTTTAGGACAATATAAATAATATGAAAAAACTAATACAAAAAAAACTAATGAAATAATTTCATTAAAACAATATAATATTAACAAATAAATATATTTAAATGGATTGATATTATTATTGAATACATGGAATACTTAAGATCAAAAAAGATTATAAAAATAAATAATCAAATAATAAAAAATAAATATTCAGATATTTACATTATGAAAGAATCTATCTACATGGATAGAAGAAAAAATACGAAAAAGAGAGAATAATTCCATGCGTCCAACATCATCCATTACTCCGTAAATTTTTTTCGCCGTTTTGACGCCGGCTGCGCGTTTGTTTGCCTCTGTTGTTGTCTTTGGTGTTTTTCTGATTTTTGGTAGTGATGGTAATGGTGATACGTCTGATAATTGAGGTGCTGGTAGGGGTGATAATAATGATCTATTGCCGAAGTTGCATGGGACGGTGAGAATGAATGTGAGAATGAAGTGTCACATGACGTTAAAAAGTCATATGACTTACCACCCATTTGGTGATTGACAGGATTACCGGGAGGCAGTGACCTGGCCTGATCCTGCACCTCCCCACCAGACGGATAGAGCGGGACTGACGAGCGATCGTAACAGAACTGACTATTCTGCATGTCTGCCGTATTGGTGGTGTGTTGTTGGTATAGCAATGGGGTGTGTTGCTGACTGGAGAAGTGTTGTTGTGTATTGGTGGCGTTGTGTTGATTGTTGTGTGGTGTCGCCGGGCAAGCCGTGTGTGAATGACTAGGTGAAAGAAGCGGTTCTTTACTTAGACCGCTGTAGTGCCTTGGCGACGCAATTCCACCTGTAACATCAATCGTGTATAGCCTTCGGGCTGTCCTTGGCCAGCCTATATTTCAGACAAATCACGCTCCTATCGATTTCACGCTTTTGTGTATATATATATGTATCATGCCAACGTTCGCCAATGTTCAATAATCACGCACATAATATCGAGAAATCGAAATCTATACGTTGAAAAAATCCAAACATCTCACGCACCGAATTGCTTCGAATTATCTTCGAAAAGCGAATCTTGGTTCTGCCAACTGAAAGCTACAAGCAAGTAACGCTAAATAAATAAAACTCCCGTTGAAACTCGGACTTTTAATTTATCTGACGATGCTATTTTTATATATAAGTTTGCAAGTAAATACTATATATACACACTGAGGTTTTTTAATCATTGGACACGATTAAACATATCGAAAATATTTTCTAGCATTTTATAATAAAAAAAATATTTGTTTTCCTTAAACAAAATCATATGAAATGATTGTAGTGAGAGAAAAACAATTTTAGAGATTCATTTTAAAGAGAGAAACTTGTTAAACTTCTATTTTGCGAAGATGAAAAAATAAAAATAAATACGTACGTAATTTTTATATTAAGTATATACTTAAGACGAGTAAGAAAAAATTAGACCTAATAAGAGAGATAACAAAGCGTCGCAATTATATCTAATGTAACAACACCATTAGCCAATATTCAAAGATTATAAAATCATAGATTATGCAAAAAAGTCTGCTACATTACTCAAAATTACGATATCCTTTTCTCCTCTAGAGGATTCGTATAACACACTATTTATAACACAATTCTATTTATAGAAAAAACACCGAAATGTATACAGGCACACAAAAAGATACTAATAAAATCTATGCGCATACTCGACTAATCTACATATACGGCGTTTTCACAATGTTTAATAAAAAAAAGTTAATCTTAATCTGCACATACTTACCCACTTCAAAATCTTTTGTATATTTCGATTTCACGTCTCTTCCGTCGCGCGAAATGATATTAAACTATATCGACTTTAGTATTGTGAAAAATCAACTCGATGATCGTCCGCATAAAAACTATGTATGCATATATTCTAATCTAACAATATCTTTCTTATCTAAAAACGATGAAATCTAATCTCGATCTAATAAGTTCGAACACTTTGAAAACCGTACAGAAACGTAACACTTATTAATAAGTGAAGAGAAGAAACAATAATCACGCGCCACGACTTTTATATATATATAATTATTATATTTAATTAGTATAATGTTCTGTTAATTTATTACACAAGTCGATTTACCGATATTAAAAATTATCATCACATAACAATTAACGTAATATTATATTTTAAAAACAACCGAACAAGAGAATGTGATAAAAAAGATAACTGCACAGAAATTTTCTTGAAATTACTCTGCAGAGTTCTCTCATCAAATTCAAATATACAAATACTGATAAAACGACTTGTCGACTTTCGACGATGCCTGTCTCTAATCTTACAACTAGATGTGATATAGAATTCATCGCATTTTGTCTTCTCGCACACAATATAAAATCCCTTACTTGTCGTTATACTCCTACTCAAGAGTATTCTGTTTAATAACAAATGATAATATATAGAATACAAAATATATATCCTAATATATATTCCACATTCTATATTTGTAACATGATTTGTAACATCAATATATGTAACTCTTGTGAATAAACTTTTCATAATCGCAAAACCGATTTCTCTCATCATAAACACCTCTTCCGATTATCTTATAATAAGCTAGTATTAATACAAATTATATACTTCTAAAATATTCATCCAATGATGTCACACAAGTATACACCTCGTTGACCTGTTTCGTGAATCGACAATAATCGAAATACTCGAGAATAATCGAATAACTACCGTAATGAGGAACAGCACACGTACCTGGCAACTGAGTTGTAGCAGAAGGCGTGGACGTGGCTCGTTGCAACCGATACTGAGCCGACGGGTTCGGCGCACCGGTATTAGGACCCGGTGTGAACTGACTGGCCGTGGGGGACGTAGGTGGGGGAAACGCTTCTGTAGGAAACGGCGATTGCCGTGCGGTTGCAGGTGTCCCCGGCGAAGGCATCGATCTCTGCTGCTGCTGCTGCAATTGTTGCTGCGCTATGACCTGCTGCTGCGGCCTCACCTGGTTCACGTTGAATAATCTCGGTGTGTTGCCGTAATTGCCCTGGCGCATATATCACGATTAAACATACTAGAAATACTTGAGACACGAAAAGATATCCCTAAAGAAATAAAGGATTCCTAAGAAAATAAAGGAAAACGATGCAAAATAAAAAAAACTGGAACCGATCTTATCTTAACATTTATCTAACACATGTCTGACTCATTTGCCTAACGTAAAAACATTCGCATAATTTAGTTTAAGTTCTTCGTCTGTTTCTAGTTCTATCTCTAGAATGAGACAGAAAATCAGCTAATTTTTAATTAATTCTAACTACTTGCATATACAAGTACTCTTTCTGTTCTTGTGTTAATCTGATAAAGCAATAATATTATTCGCACTCACTTGCGTCACCCGTGGTGATAGTGGCTGTGGGTGAGGGAAGGGCAGCATACCAACCGGAGAATGTGGCGAGAGTCTCGCCGGAGCGGACACTTGTTGCCCACTGTTAAAGTTGTTGTTCACAATAGGGCTGTAAAAGAAAGAGTCCACACATATGTAGCAGAGAATGATACCTTTATACGGAATACTTACTGCTGTGGTATCGTTGACGGATGGGAGTACGAGTGAGCGAGTCGATGACCAGAAGCTATCTGGACGGATCCCCCATATCCTGGAGAGATTTGCGATTCTGGGACACTCGATCGCTGAATAAAAAAAAGATTGCATATTTACAGCGTTATTTTTATAATTTTGCGAATATTTATGACAAAGCATAGCACTATTTTCGTTAGATATGAATAAATTTCTTATGTATATGTATATGTATATATATAATTATATTTATATTATAAAATGAATAAAAATCAAATAAATAATTAAAATCTCAATTATTAATATTTTTTTCGTAATAAACTGTATACCTGCAACGATACGTTTGGCGGTGCAACGGTATTGTTAAGAAGATTATCGATGTTATGAATACTGCTGTTGATTTGATCCGTCGCGGTGGCATTTGATGGAATAACCATCTGCTGTTGCTTCTGTTGTTGCAATAATCGTTGTTTCAATTGCATTTGGTCCTTCATTTGCTCCTGGTGCTGCTGGTGTTGCTGTATAAGCTTCGAACGTTGTTGTAACTGCAATTGTTGTTGTTGCGTAAATTGACCTGGTTGTCTGACACCTTGCTGATTAAACCTCATTCTGGGCTGTGGGTACATTGGAGGTGGCTGGTAACTGTGACTAGTTGTCACAGGTGTAGTGCCCAACTAAAACAAATCAATTCATCATTTCATTGTACGTTACAAGATAGCATGATGTAAATTGAGAAATATGTGTATATACAGATAAAAAAATAGATAGAATTAAAATGTGAAATTGATGACTTTATTAAAAAAAAAAAGAAGAAGAAACTTACCGCAGTGGAATAGGCTGGGGGAGTACCAGGCATAGTGGTGGAAGACGTTGGATTCACGGCAGTCTCGCACAACATCAACGACTTCTGGATAGCGCTAATTGCCATTTTCTCGTTCATTGCATTCTTATCTTCGATAAGAGGATTTAGGAGGAGATTCGCTATCGGAGACGTATCTATTAAATAAAAAATATAATCTCTTCTTTATAATGATACAATTACTTTCACTGCTACATGTAATTTCAATTGTATTGTTATGCAAATGCATCATTGCTTACAGATCGAATCATATATAAAGTAAAGCTGTCATGCTATCGAGAAATTGATTTAAATTTATTTAATTTATAGTACGACAGCAGAAGAGATATGTATTTAAAATAATTAATTTTTAATTTTTGACACTTCAAATGTTTATGAATTTAATTTGACACATCAACAAAGTTTTATGGATCATAAAATTAATATGTATATTATTACATATATGAAAATATTTATAAACAAATGTATTTAAGTTAAACTAAAATTATAATTGTAATGTAATTATATATCAGTCACACAATCAAAAGTTGGGAAAAAATGATTATTTATCATTTCAATCGCTATAATTACCCGCGCTAGGTTGTTCCGGGACAAAATCTATCACTTGATCCAAAATTTCCGAAAGATCCGGATCCGATGACTGATTATCCCAACTGGTTGGGTCGTTGCTAGTCTGACGGTATTCTCCGCTACTCGTAAATTCAGAATCAGTTAGTCCCATTTGGGGCCTTTGTTGCTGCTGTAAAAAAAGAAGACACGTTTAAAAAAATATTGTCTAAAATATTATATTAGCGATTTATTCGTAAAAATAATTCGTAAAATATAAAAAGAAATATCTCTATTCGCATAAAGACATAAAGTACAGAGAAACTTAACTATGTATCTTTTTTTCCATTCATAAAAACATTAAAATTAAATGTAATATATTAAAATTAAATAAATACTTACTTGACTTAGTATATGACTGAGGTAGGTATTGGTTGATTGACGAGGTAGTTGTCTCGACTGACTTTGGAGAGGACGCGCCGACGCGGTCGTCGTAATCGCGTTACCAGCACCAACTTGCATATTGCCACCTGTCCAAGGTTGCTGCTGCTGCGATTGTTGTTGTTGTTGTTGCTGCTGTTGCTGCTGCGGCTGCTGTTTTACACGGGGCAATTTGTCCTGAAAATAATAAGATATTAATTAATAAAATATTATATAAATTCATATGATTGTTGCTGACAGAGTTGTGCGACAGCTCTCTAGAACTTGAATGCAACTAAAAAGCATCACTTGGATTTATTCGCCACTTCTCGACAGACAATGCACTGACGAATCTTAGGAGGGTGATTTTAGGATTAAAACACCTTCCCTTCCAATTTAAAAGAAATAATTGTAACTCGATTTGCGAAAATATTTTTATATTAAACCAAATAATTTTGTAGAAACACTCACTCCACTAGCGACTTCAGGATTAGCTAGTGAGACAATGGCAAATCATCACCAAGAATATCAAAGAAAATCGAATCTACTTTAGCCTCGCCCAAAAGGTTTGTGTTATAAATACATGTAGAGAAAGAGAGAGAAAAAGGTAACCACCTTGAATCTTTCAAATCTTTTGAAAATGTAAAAGAGACCCCCACTTTTGCATTCCACACCTTTGTTTCCTACAAAAAGATATAACATGGCCACCACGTTATATCTTTGTTAAAAACAAAGATGTGGAACGTAAAAATAATAATTAAAAAACTAATTTATTTTCATATAATTTTAATTAATAAAAATATTCATATAATTTTTTCATTTTTAAGTAGTAATTATTTAATTTCATATACATTTTTTAAAATAAATCATAATTTAAGTAAAGAAAACAGTTATATCACGTGGAACGTAAATAATAATTAAAAAACTAATTTATTTTCATATAATTTTAATTAATAAAATATTCATATAATTTTTTCATTTTTAAGTAGTAATTATTTAATTTCATATACATTTTTTAAAATAAATCATATACAAAAAAATTTAAGTGGAAACACGTGGTTACTCAGAGAAAACTATAAAAAATAAGGAAACACACAATAAAAAAGAATTCTTTTTGTTAGAAAAAATTATACTGTGAAACAAGCAAGGTAAAACCTATAAATTATTCTCTTCTTAATACTTTTTTTTCATTTATTTTCTCTCGATTCTTTACAATGCCCACCCTAACTGAAATACTACAGAAACTATTGTCTATTATTTTATTTCTTTGTCTGAAAAAAAAGACATTTTTCAACGTACCATTTCTAGCTTTCTAATACATATATTTCGAAATGTAAAATGTATGTAAAATTATATTATACGTATTATATTTATAAAATTATAGTAAAATTATATAGTAATATTATTTATAAAATTACATTATACATATTATATAATTTATAAAAAGAATTGAAGTTAGAACACGAAGAGTGTCTCGTTTGTTACGCCTTACTTGCTGCGAAACACTACCATATCTCTTGATTCTGATATATAAAATATTCACAAACAAAATAGAAGCGAATTAATTAAGAGAATAAAAGTAAATCATGTAAACCATGCGCAAATTTTTCTTTCTTTTTGAAGAAAATCTGCTTTAGCACATTTTAGCAAAAAACAATCTAGTCGACTTTGACTGAAAATTTCTAGGTATATAAAACGGAGAAAAGCCTTTGTTTATACCACATAAAAATGATGAAAATGAATAAAAGTTTAGATAATCTACCGTGGTTATCAAGTTTAACAAGAATATGTTGAGAACGCATTTTCTCTTAATATTAGAAATTATTAGGAAATTAACTGAAAATTTCTACGTATAGGAGTGATAAGATCATGCAATCAAGGGAGAAAGTGTCGAAGAAAACTTGATTATCAGATTTCATACCTGTGGAGTTGCTGATATCACAGACGCGGGCAGCTTCGTTGGTACGTTCGTTGTTTGCGGCGGCTGTTTTGCTAGTAAAGATGCTAGCATCTTATTCTTCTCCCATAGCTTGCTGCCCGATGCGTTGCTCGTTCCTGAAGAAGATACTTGATGCGATCCGTCAACAGGTCGTTTCACAGCTACGTTCAGATCACCGTCTTCTCCTGGTCTCTTCTGGCCCACCTGAGATGCGCTGCTGCTGAGAGCTATGTGTTCGCTCGATTGCGATGGAGACGGTGTAGTGGTCCGAAAGCCAAGACTTCGTAAGAGAGGGTCGTCTTCTCGATTCTAACAGAAAACATGACATGCTATTAGTTCTCATTTACTCCCACTTTCTTCAAATGCTATCCCCTGCACTTTTTCCAAAACTTTTACTATTTGGGAACAAAGCAAAGAAAGAACAGTGCAGAAAAAACTATCTGCTTTTCGAACTTTGTATCTTTTCACTATATAAACAGTCAGCACCCCCTTTGACCAGACGTAGAATATTTTGTGTAGCCTGTTTAGACCTGTACTATATAACCTTGGTAAATCTTCACCGTGACTAAATAAAATATTCTAACACAGTAATGAAAATTTTTAAAGAAAGAAAAAACCAGTATAAAATTACGACTTGCGGAAAAAATCTGTTAAGTATCTGTTAAGATGAATTTTATAGTATACAACCCTCTTACTTAAAAAATACAAATTTTTTGGTGTACAGGTCTCATCTCTTTGGTGTACATTAATTTCAAGAACACTAGTTTATAAAATAAATTCCTTTCTTGTCATTGCCTGATATTACTTCCTACTTATTTATGCAAACTGTATGTGCAAATTCTTTATTTTGGAGAATCAAAACAATACATAGTATATTATCAATTATATACTTCAATAAGACGTAACAGATATAAAAAATTGGCAAATAAAATTAAAAATTAAAAAAGAAAGGAACTTTGTTTTATCAATATCAAGTTACGCACAACATCTGACAATTAAAATCCTATATGTATTATCTTGTTGTTACTATCTTATTGTATCATGATGTAAATATTATATACTCTCTTTTTTATTTTTCACATCTTACTTTTATATACCATTAATTCCATTTAAATTTTTGATATGAATACTAAAACAAACCTGTTGTGCTTGTTGTACTTGTTGTACCTGTTGTAATTGTTGGTCTGGTAGCTTTCTCTCTTCGTCTGGATCTGATTTCATCAATTGCAGAAGCAATTTTTCATTTCTTTTCTTCGTTCCACCACGTGTATCTTGTGTATCGTCCTCATCATCATTCTTTTCGTTTAGTAACTAAAATGAAAAAAAATTTTAATTTATTTATTTATTTATTTATTTATTATATTTATTTAATTATTTATTAAATAAATAAGGAGTGCCAATTGGTCTAAATATATTAAAAAGTTGAACAATTTTCTGTAAAATTTATAATTTATATAAGATCTTGATACTAAAAATAGATTGTCAATAAAAAAAACATAAAATTTTAATAATTTTGACAAATATTAATATGTACGTTAGACATACATTTCTTAAGTACTAGATAAAATAAAATTAACAAAAAAATGATTTTTGTTCCCTGAAAATTTCCTAAATTTAACAAATTCCATAAAAATTTCCTGATTTTTCAAAGTTAAACAAAGTTCTTAGAAAATATATTTCAAGGTTTTTCCCAAAAGTATATACCCTGTAATCATCAAATTACCTGCAGTAGCATATTGTTTCCGAGCGACGGTTTATGCTCCATGCTAGGCTTTGGCATGTTGCTAGGACTCGTGCGCACTTTATGCTCCGAATGATAGTCGTCTTCGTCTTGCTGGTTCAACAGAGTCTTCAGTATCCTGTGCCTATTCGAATTATTCGAATCGTTATCCGTATTGTCTTGGCTGTCTTCGCTGGCATTCGGACCCATGGTCAACAAGTTTCGCAATCTACCGGACTCGGTGGATATCGTACTGTTATTTTGAGTCTCGACGGCGCTGCTTGTCCTCGCCGTCGCGTTATCCATGGTGCCGGCGCTGTTGCTAGTAGGACATCCGCTCTTGCTATTCTCTTCCGTTCGCTTGATGGTCGTAGCGATGTTACTGCTAACCCCGCCAACGTTTCCGCCATTAGTGCTGATGCTGGTGGCGACATTGCTATTCAACGTGGATGTCTGCGTAGTCTCTTGAAGAGGACTGAAGGAGTACGAATTACTGAAGGTGTGAGCGGTGCTAACCGAGGTCGGACTGAACGGTCGTAGAGGACTACAGTGAGATGCCACTGCTGCCGAGTTGGAGAAGGTTCCCTGCGGACTCGGTGACGTGGGGGCCGGTTGGGAAGACGGTCGAGAGTTCGGTTGTCCACTCGCTCTCGATTCCGGCCTATCCACCCATCCAGCACTACTGTCCAAGCTGTCCCAAGCTGTGGTACTAGGGAAAATGTCGAAACCTTCCAGGTCCATGTTTCCCGAAAAATGGTTGACGGTGAACGGATTGCCGCCCGAAGCACTTAGCGTCAGGGGTTACACGAATCACTGTTACCACTGCTGGCACCGCCACCGCTACCGGTGGTACCTCCCGTGTTAAAGGCGATTGAGTTCGACGACGTCGCGACATGGGACACCGCCATACCACGAGCACTGATACCACTCACTTGACCGTTCAGATGCGCGACGGGCATCAGCGGACCACCCACGTTATTGTTATTGTTGCCGTTATTATTATTACTATTATTCGCACAACGGTTACTAGGGTGTCCTGAGCACATCTTGTTGTTGGAAAGTTGACCACTCTCGATAGGTATTAAGTCATTGTCCCTATCGTAAACAAGAATTAAACATAATAAAAACAACATAAAACAACACATATTTGTCAATTTAGCTGCACATTTTCACTTTAATCTAAGATTAATTCATATAAATCGCAATTGGAACAGTTTGCAACAGTTTAATTATTTCTTTTCGTTCAATGACTACATATTATCTTATAAATTTAACGCAGAATAATAAAAAGTAATATTTGAAAAGAGATTTTTCTGATATATAAACTGTTATGTAATAATCTTAAATGCGATTTAAGTTATTGAAATATATTGACAGACATTATATATAATTAGCTTACTATACAAAAACAGTGTGTTTTATAAATTCTTATGTTGAAGAAAAGAAATAATTAAACTTCTGGTTTCTTTAATATATCAAGATATTAATTTTATATAATATAGTCAAATGACATTCAATAATATATTTTTCAATGAACAATCATCTATCGAGTTATAAGAGAATAAAATATGTGTGTAATGTTTATAATATTGCATAATCATAAATATCGAAAGTAATGTGCAAACTTACCCGATGATGGAATTAGTAGCCATCATGAAATCGTTATCGTTATTCATCGCATTTGCTTTGAAAAATTTTGACTTTGTTTGAATCTTAAGGAACTTATCAGAACCAACGCGCAATCGGTACACATCGCTCGTATTTTCGCCGAGTTGAAGGGTATCGGTCAAATGCTTCTGGAGCGTATTGAGATCATGACGGTGGCATAACTCTTCAATCGATTTGCCTATCAAGTTGTCCTGCAACAGAAAACGTTTATGAATATCTCTCAAGCAATTCTGCAATGCGTAAGAGAAAATAGAAAGAGAGAAAAGAGAGAAAAAGTCTTCCAGAGAATAATAATTATAAAATATTATTCTTATTGAAATTTAACTTAAAATATCTTATTTCACTTTTAAAAGCAATTTGTGAGAAAAAATTCTTTAATCCTCAACTTAAATACATTATTTAAAATTAATAATTCGGAAATTTCTTTTTCAATGTACAAAATTTTTTTACACTGTATGAATATTATTTATAATATAGAAAAGATTGTGTTTTTCAGTTAATTAAATACAGTAAAGTAAAATATAAATAGAATAAAAAAATGTAAAAATGATGTAAAAGTTCTTGATAAAATTATCATCAATTATATTAAATTTTTATTTTAAAATAGTAAGCAAACATATATAATTAATTTATACTCTAGCAAAAGAAAACAATAAGTTTTTGCGCTTGTTAAATATTTGTGATAATTATTAAAAACATTTAAAAATTTTCAAAACAAATCCTTATATGTTTCTTTTTAAATCACAATTTGCATTACAGATTAAAATAAGAAAATTATTATATCTCATTCTCGGAGTATAATTCTTCATAAAAAAAACTCTATTATTGAATTGGCGTAAATCGGAATGGAACATTACAGTAATCAAAATGTACGACATGGTTGTGCGCACCCTTACCTTGCTTAGGTAGTTGTAAACGGGGGATAACCAACTGAGATCAGCCCCGATAATTTTCCAATTGGTATCCAATTTGACGGTGAATTGCTCAACGGGGGCACCAATGGGTTTCTCGTTTGACGGTATTCTACGCGCTATGCACAACAGGCAAGGACTAATGTCTGACGACTCGGACACATCGCTCTCCAGACGATCGGCATTATTGGACAGAAGAACAGAATTGATTTGCATAGACTCGTACTTCGATATTCGCTGTTGCTTCTCTTCCATAGTCTCGTCCTTATCATCAGGAGGCTTCACTAAGAAGCGGCAATTGAAGACGCGATTCCTGGTCTGAGATTGCGGCTCGCTGGTCCAGTCTGTAATATACAAACTTGAGTGAGTCCTTTTTTTTTAACACGAAAAGAATACTCTGCGTCACATGTATAACATTTTTAGGTATTGTTTTTATATTAATTTAAAATTAAGCTAAATTGAAAATTCTTCCTAAAAGAAAAAAAGTGACATCAAAATTGGTCTCAAAAATTATATAATTAAAATTCAAAGCAAAAGTATTTTACATAACTACAGGTATAATTACGATTATAAGTAAAGAAAAAAATTTGAAATTTCAGAAACGAGAATTAATTGACCAAGATTGCTGGTATATTTGTACACGTCATACAGAGATAACGAAAACCACGATGAAAAGAAGAATTTCTATTCGTTAGAAATGTGTGTCATCCCTCGATTTTATGAAAACCATCTTTAAATCCACAAATGACGAAATAAAAAAACGAGGAAATAAAACGTGAAATCCCGAGCAACAGAATCTCTGCATTTGAATTATTCATGATCTGCTAATTGCGCCTATTTACAATCTACTACACATTTGAATATTTACTACCCTTAAGAAAAAAAGTGACATTAAAATTGGTCTCAAAAATTATATAATTAAAATTCAAAACAAAAGTATTTTGCACAACTACAGGTATAATCACGATTATAATTAAAGAAAAGAATTTGAAATTTCAAAAACGAGAATTAATTGACCAAGATTGCTGGTATATTTGTACACGTCATGCAGAGATAACGAAAACCACGATGAAAATGAGTACCATCGCTCGTGATACAGTTAGTGAAAAGAATACATACTTAACGAAGACATAGGTAGCAAATTAGAATTAAAGGTGTGGTGATCCCCATGATGTATGATATTGTAAATATCCTTTTTGAGTACATCGTCCTTCGTGTAATTTATGTACTGCGCTATGTTCGTCGAAACGTACTCTACGCGGCCCTCTGTATTTACAAGAAGTATAAAGCCGTCTAGCGCCTGTATGAAAAAAAATATATATAATAAATGTATACAATTGAATTAGTGACAATACTTTTTACGAGTAAAAAAATACAGAGTAACATTTAAAATCTCTTTCATTTTTTTCCATTTTCCAATAATGACTTTCTCACAATATTTCTAACAATGAACTTAGCTTGAATTATTTAATTTAATTTTACTTATTAATTCAAACCGAAAATACGAACCTCAAGTAAGAAAGGGCCAAGTTGATCGTTGGACAGTATGTTAGGATTCGACGAGGACACTTCCCCCTGTTGTATAGCATGACTATTGGAGCTCTCTTGGTTCCTAAAGTGCCGAATCTGCAAAAAATAAATAAATAAATAAATAAAACACGATTTGACGCATTTTGTAATTCGTATAATAGACTATCTCGAACATCATGTTTTTTCGTACAGATTTCTTGAAATCTCAAAGTCAATTTGCAATTTATTTTTTTAAAATGCCTCACATATAAAATATAAATTGTGCAATACAAGATGTTATCATCCAATTAATAATAACATTTGTTAATTACTTTGCTGGGTTTCTCGTGAGAGGCAAAGGAACAACATTTTACTGCATTTTATTACAAAACTGCTCGTATATAACTAGTAACTAATAATAAAAAGAACACGCATGGCGCTGAAAGCGCGCGGAAAAATGTAATATCTGTACCAAACTTGAATTCCATAAATTTTGCAAAGTTCTTTCTAACAAAGGCATGTTAAGTCAATTCTCGCAAGTATCATTATTGTTATATATTTTAAATAATATTATAATACTTTAAACTTAATTAACATTTTTGACAGATATCACCTGATTTCTGTCAAAAAAATATTAATCGAAGATAAAGCTTCATAACATATTATTTATAACATATTACTATTTTAATATTTTTAACATATTAGCATTTTAAAATTTAATTAACAAATTTACGCTTTATTAATATTTTTTGACAGAAATCAGCTGATTAAAGCGTTAATTTGCTAATTAAAATTTAAAATAATAAAATGTTACAAAAAATTTAAAATAGTAATATATTTTAAATGTTATAGTACTTTAAACTTGATTACTATTTTTGATAGATATCAGCTAATTTCTGTCAAAAAATATTAATCGAAGATAAGGTATCATAACACATATTATTTACAACATTATTTTAATTCTTATGACATATTTTTATTTTTAAATTTAATCAGCTGAAATTGACGCTATAATCAGCTGATTTCTGTCAAAAAATATTAATCAAATTTAAATAAACTTTATATTATTTTTTTGATATTCTTTTTAATACAAAATAAAGAATAGCATACGCTTATATTGTTCGATTATCTTGTTTTGTAAAAGTTCTAGTAATTAAAATAAATATGCAATATCAATATTTATGCCTATCTCAAAGACTCGCATGAAAGCAAATCACTCACAATTAAATATCTAAAGTGTCTAAAAAAAATCTTACTACTATTATTTGATATAATTTGATACTTTACTAATTGATATAATTTAAATTAATAGCACACAGAATATAAAAAAATATAATTATGTACAAATTTTAACTTTCATAATTTCAATATTAAGAAGGCTGCGAGGAAGCTTTTATCTCACACTCGATTTAGGTAATAGTCGCTCATGCGTTCGTCTCGCCTCACTAATGTCCGTACAAAAGCATCTCCGTATATATAAAGCAACTCTGCGCGAGCGAAATAATGTTTAAGGTCCATTTACACTTGCCCATTTTATATCTGCATCGCATTCGATATTGTATTATATTCCATTACGAGAGACGAAATAAAATGATTTTTTTGTCATTAGCGAGAAAGTTTAAAGAAAAAAAAACGAATGACACCGAAGCGTATAGATGAGACAAACCGTACGAATAGATTTTGAAAACTGCGATGATCTAGTGGAAATAATCACGATTTTTTTCCAAGAAACGGCAGGTATGCGTACGAACAGAAAACGGACAGGTGTAAATGGACCTTTAATCTTCTCCATCCAATGGAGCGGTGGTAGCATTTCCATCACGACGTTCGCGTTATGCGTGACGTGATAATGCGAGGAAACGACTGACTCCGCTTTTTGTGTGATCCCGAACATACGCATCATCTCACGCATACACGAACAGCTACAAAGCAAGTTGCTCGAGTGATGTCACGCTGCGAGTGGCATTGCTATGTCATTGCGATGCAAAATTTCATCGACGTACAATTCCTTTTTTTTTTATTTTAAGCATTATCTCGTTTTATAAAAGAATATAAAGCGGATTTTTCCTCTATTTTTCATACAAAACTGTATTTTCTTTAATTAACGAATTTACATAGATCAAGTATTCATTTAAATGCAATGTGAAATCCTCGATATGAAGAATATTGTGTAAAGAATATGTATGAGTATAGATCTCGAAGATAATCACAAGGAAACCTCGCAAAAATCTGAAAATTCTGTTTTTTTATGAAACTTTGCATATAGGAGAGAATAAATAAATGAATTTATCTCGAAAAATATTTGAGATATTAAAAAATGTTTCATAGAGTAAAAACATCTCTATTTAACTACGTTAATATTTTAGAATAATTTATTTTAAATAAAACATTTTTTTTAATCTTTGAAATAAACAATTTTTTCAAAATTTTATTAATGTAGTTAACTAGAGATGTTATTATTATCATGAAATTTGTGTATAAAATATTTTTTGACATATTGAATATTTTTCGAGATAAAAAATTCATTTATTTCGTCAACATGTAAAGTTTGATTAAAATCGGACTTTTCGTGAGATTTTTTTTTCTCTACTCAGAAAAAAGATCTGCAATATTATTTTATGAAATATTATATTTTTTTCACCTAAGATTCTCTCATTTTCATGCAATATTATTATTGCAACTGCACATTAAATAAATGTTCTTATCGTGCAATTGTTTTTGTATGAAACTTTTTTAATATATTACATATTTTTCGAGATAAAAAAATTCATTTATCCTACATGCATGTAAAGTTTTATCAAAATTTTCGTGAGATTTCTTTGTCAGCAGCCAAGTGGATGCTTAGAAAAAAGAAGGTCATAAAATCGAAATATTTTTTCTCTACTCGAGAAAGACCTGCAATTATTTTACGAAATTTATTTTTTTTTCAACTAAGATTCTCTCATTTTCATGCAATATTATTACTGCAACTTCACCGTCACATTATCTTTGTACGTGCTGTCGTGAAATGCATGTTATTAAATACAGCAACTGAAAAACATTCGTAAGAGTAAGAAGTACATGAAAAATGTGTGGCATCGATTATACTTTCAAACTGTACATAGAATTCCACATGCCGTCTTCAACATGTGCATCATTGTACTGCGACGATGCACTTCCCAGCTCTATGCACATCCTCGATAAAATAAAACGAAACGCGACTGCGTACGAAAAAAAATACCTATATATACGAAAGCAAACTTTTGACATGTGTATCCTCCGTAAAATATACGGTCATTTTTACGGGACACGCATGCGATATCGATGAAATAAGAGATGATGTATATCGCATCGAATGCGAACAAATAATCCATTTGAACGGGATATTGGATTTTTATTGTTGCACATACACGTGTACTGTTGCTTTTACACGTCAAAGTATAGATTTGTCAGACTGGTTACGGCACGCAAGGATATCAGCAATTGCAATAAGGATAAAAAGAGACATATAGATAGAAAAAGAAGACGCGTGATGTATCAATAAAAAAAGATAAAAGGAAACGTCAAATTATCTTAAATAGCAGTGCAAGTATATCGCAAAGTGATCTCGGCTGATTGTTATATAAATAACGTAAAATACCATCTAAAAAATGTGAAAAGATAATTGATAAATGAGATTGCAAGGCCTCTCCTGAAGAAAAAAAATTATAAAAGTGTGACAATTAATATATAAATAACTTTAAATTTTCATTAACAGTTCCGAGATGAATTGTCTCGATATTCTTGTCAAGATATATTCTAAATTAATCTAAATATGTATAAAAAGATACGGATAAGAAATATCTCTCTCCTAAATTTTAAGGTAAATTTTAAGAGATCAAAATGTCATATTTATATATTATATAAATATTGCATTGACACAAATGAGAAAACCTGAAAGTTTATATATTTATATATATAAATTTATATATAAATATTGCATTGACACAAATGAGAAAACCTGAAAGTATATTTAATATAAATGTATATATAATTTTTTTTCTTTTAAAACTTGAGGAAGGCAACTAACTTTTAAGTGTAAAAGTTTTTGTTTGAAAATTATTAAGTGTAAGAAACTATTGATTCTCTCAATTAAATTTTAAAACAGAGCAAGTTATATTTATAATGTACACTTAAAAAACAACTAGGTATATATTTTCCTTATCGACTTCTTTTATTATTTTCTGCATACACAATATTGAAGATTGAAAAATGAATTTTTTACAAGATTTCATATAATACAATTTGTAAAATTATATTATTAAAAGTATTAAACAAATCTTGTAAATTATTCACTTTTAGATCATCTCACTCTTATAATTTTTATGTCAAATATTGCGAGGAATCAATTAATAAAAAAATTAAAATAATTCCATTAAGAAAACTAGAGTGACAATTAAAAATAAATTTGAAAAATGGTATTCAAGAGCAATCTTCTAGTTCACGATATTATATGTTCCTCTCGAAATCTTATAACTTGCTTAATATATTGTTTCCAAATATTTGCTGCTTAGAGATTAAAATGAATTCTCCTGTATATTATGAGAATAAATATCTGGACTTCAATTCGAGCCATTTTCGTTCTCGAAGAGGAGAAAAGCCGCTTCTCTCGCGGGGCTGAAATTTACTTCGCTCGACGAAGGAACTAAGAGATCATACGAATCCGTACACCACGGGATACCATGGTCGAAAGTGCGTGTGCAACGCTCGGTTTTTGTACTGTATACACAGTCCATTAGCCCTGTGAACGTCTGTTATCCGTTATTGCGTCAGACAGCTAACGAAACAACGACACCACTCAGGGAAGGACTATGTTAGGCAGTTGTCCGAGCAAGTCTCGTTGCCGAAATGTGTGAAAGTCATAACTCGATAGCATTCGTTTAAGTTTTTTTTTTTTTGGAAATATAAAAAAATTAATAAACGAGAAAATGACACCCAGAGATAGTTTAACGAGATTTTTCGTTGCTTGGTATTTTGTCAATACTGTGACCATCTGTCCTTTATTTTAGAGGACAGTCCTTTATTTCAAATACCTGTCCTTTAGATTTATTCATTTTTCCAAAACTCAATTTTGTCGTTTATTTTAAAATATTGTTCTT